ATATAGAAAAAGTACCCTTTATTTTACATGTACCCATTTATTTATACATCATTATTTTTTTTAAGGAAAACTAGGCTTTATGCGGTATTCTCACTAGGTGGATTTCAGTAACATTAATACTCTCTACATTATCCAAAAAATTAGCCTTCTAAAACCCCGGAGTCATATAGAAAAAGTACCCTTTATTTTACATGTACCCATTTATTTATACATCTTTATTTTTTAAGGAAAACTAGGCTTTATGCGGTATTCTCACTGGGTGGAATTTAGTAACATTAATACTCTCTACATTATCCAAAAAAATTAGCCCACTAAAACCCCGGAGTCATATAGAAAAAGTACCCTTTATTTTACATGTACCCATTTATTTATACATCTTTATTTTTATAAGGAAAACTAGGCATTATGCGGTATTCTCACTAGGTGGATTTCAGTAACATTAATACTCTCTACATTATCCAAAAAAATTAGCCAACTAAAACCCCGGAGTCATATAGAAAAAGTACCCTTTATTTTACATGTACCCATTTATTTATACCTCAATTTTTTTTTTAAGGAAAACTAGGCTTTATGCTGTATTCTCACTAGGTGGATTTAAGTAACATTAATACTCTCTACATTATCCAAAAAAATTAGCCAACTAAAACCCCAGAGTCATGTAGAAAAAGTACCCTTTATTTTACATATACCCATTTATTTATACATCATTATTTTTTTAAGGAAAACTAGGCTTTATGCGGTATTTTCACTAGGTGGATTTCAGTTACATTAATACTCTCTACATTATCCAAAAAATTAGCCCACTAAAACCCCGGCGTCATATAGAAAAAGTACCCTTTATTTTACATGTACCCATTTATTTATACATCTTTATTTTTTTAAGGAAAACTAGGCTTTATGCGGTATTCTCACTAGGTGGATTTTAGTAACATTAATACTCTCTACATTATCCAAAAAAATTAGCCCACTAAAACCCCGGCGTCATATAGAAAAAGTACCCTTTATTTTACATGTACCCATTTATTTATACATCTTTATTTTTTTAAGGAAAACTAGGCTTTATGCGGTATTCTCACTAGGTGGATTTTAGTAACATTAATACTCTCTACATTATCCAAAAAAATTAGCCCACTAAAACCCCGGCGTCAAATAGAAAAAGTACCCTTTATTTTACATGTACCCATTTATTTATACATCTTTATTTTTTTAAGGAAAACTAGGCTTTATGCGGTATTCTCACTAGGTGGATTATAGTAACATTAATACTCTCTACATTATCCAAAAAAATTAGCCCACTAAAACCCCGGCGTCATATAGAAAAAGTACCCTTTATTTTACATGTACCCATTTATTTATACATCTTTATTTTTTTAAGGAAAACTAGGCTTTATGCGGTATTCTCACTAGGTGGATTTTAGTAACATTAATACTCTCTACATTATCCAAAAAAATTAGCCCACTAAAACCCCGGCGTCATATAGAAAAAGTAACCTTTATTTTACATGTACCCATTTATTTATACATCTTTATTTTTTTAAGGAAAACTAGGCTTTATGCGGTATTCTCACTAAATGGATTTCAGTAACAATTATACTCTCTACATTATCCAAAAAATTAGCCTCCTAAAACCCCGGCGTCATATAGAAAAAGTACCCTTCATTTTACATGTAACCATTTATTTATACATCTTTATTTTTTTAAGGAAAACTAGGCTTTATGCGGTATTCTCACTGGGTGGATGTTAGTAACATTAATACTCTCTACATTATCCAAAAACATTAGCCCACTAAAACCCCGGCGTCATATAGAAAAAGTACCCTTTATTTTACATGTACCCATTTATTTATACATCTTTATTTTTTTTAAGGAAAACTAGGCTTTATGCGGTATTCTCACTAAATGGATTTCAGTAACATTAATACTCTCTACATTATCCAAAAAATTAGCCTCCTAAAACCCCGGCGTCATATAGAAAAAGTACCCTTCATTTTACATGTACCCATTTATTTATACATCTTTATTTTTATAAGGAAAACTAGGCTTTATGCGGTATTCTCACTAGGTGGATTTCAGTAACATTAATACTCTCTACATTATCCAAAAAATTAGCCTCCTGAAACCCCGGCGTCATATAGAAAAAGTACCCTTCATTTTACATGTACCCATTTATTTATACATCTTTATTTTTATAAGGAAAACTAGGCTTTATGCGGTATTCTCACTAGGTGGATTTCAGTAACATTAATACTCTCTACATTATCCAAAAAAATTAGCCCACTAAAACCCCGGAGTCATATAGAAAAAGTACCCTTTATTTTACTGTAATGTAACCACCCTATCAAAGTTCTATAAAATTACCTACCCTTGGCCAAAAGGAAGAAAACACGTGATCGTCCTAGTTGTGGTAACCCCTCGTTCTTTAATACATTGCTACGAAATTTCTGAAGTAGGGATAGGCTCGAAATGAAATACCGAATTATCCCATAATACCTTTTATTCGGGATAAAATTACAAAATCTGGTTCGGGGCGCAATTTCTATGGGTGAGAGGAAGAAAGAACCAGTAAGAAAACTTCTCTCGTGCAATACCCAAAGAAAGAAGTAAATGTATAAATAAATAAATAAAAAATAAATAAGTACAAATCAATCGATAGAGACAAATAAATATAAATAAAAATCAATAAATAAAAACCAACCAATAAAATTCAATAAATAAAAATCAATAAATAAAATCATCAAATAAAATAAATAAATAAAACCAATAAATAAAATCAATAAATACAAATCAATAAATAAAATCAATAAATAAAAACCAACAAATAAAAATCGATAAATAAAATCAATAAATAAAATCAGTAAATAAAATCAATAAATAAAATCATCAAATAAAAATAAATAAATAAAAATAATCAAATAAAATAAATAAATAAAAATAATCAAATAAAATAAATAAATAAAAATAACCCGATAATAAACACCCAAAAGCAAATCGAGGGGTGATGCTGGGAGTAAATAGTAAAGTACCCTCAGGAAACCGCTAAATGACCCAGCGATTCTGCAATTCGTAGATCAGGTGTCCCGCTAGATAGCACTGTGAATAAACAGATAAAGAAATGCGGAGATGCCTTTAATCACAATCATACCAAGAAGAAGAGTTTGTTAAGAGCCAAGGAAACGAGCAAGTTTTACTACATCCCGCCTATCATAGTTGGCACATGGCTTGGTACCTCACCACAGAAGCGATCGCTTTACTGCAATGAGAACCGTCAGGGAAGAAATTGTTAATTATCTGCAACAAGGCCCATGCATAAACACTACCCCTTTCGTAACCGCTAACTTTACACACTGACCAAAGACACTCCAAAAATTGTAAATATATAAAAGCAATGGTAAATAAAATAAATAAGATATCTGTAAGAAAATAAATGGTTAAAATGTTGCAGTAAAATCAGAGAAATAATAAAAAAAAACAATAAATCGATATCAATAAATAAAAGTAAATAAATAAAAGTCAATAAATAAAGTTCAATAGCTAAAATCAATAAATAAAACGTGAGAAATAGGGAATATAAATACACAAAGTAGGGCTGAAATAAAGGGTACCGTAAAACTATTGTTTCTGGGATGCAGTAAATTAGCATCGGAATCACTGAAATTGAATACATTAGATTGATGAAAACAATTTTAGGACAGCCACGCCCCTCAGATTAAATATACCTCTAAAATTGTTCCTCATAAACGACATAAAAAGGATATCGTACTAAGACCAAATCAACAAAATTTAGTTTAGTAAATCACCCAAATTCACACCAATAATAATGACCTTATGTCTAGACTCACCTTAAAGATCGTAGTAGCGGGACGACACGCACTATTAGGGGTCAACTTTAACTCCAATTGTAGAAGGCGGGACACCTCCTAAGGAACACCTTAGAACTATCCGTAATTTTAAGGGAGCGCACTCTGCAGAAACTTACACTCACAGAATCAGGTGACTTCACAACTCACAAACTCAATTCACCGTGCCTAAGATTTGATCTTCTCCGTAATTCAATTCTTTCTGCCACCCCGCGACTTCCCTTTTTTCCTCGGGACCCGATAATCGCCACCCTACCACCATCCTCTTGATTATCTTCCTCTCCTCCCCGGCGAAACCCAAAAATTCCACAACACCTATTTTTTTATTCCCAGGCCTCTTGAGATTTTCTACGACGATCTCTTTGTATATTTGTTTTTGACGCCTCGTACCCATTAGCCATCCACCCCGTCGACACATCTTAATTTACCACGTCTGGGTTCTGTTATCTCTCGAATATTTCGGGCCATTCGATATTCGACGAATTTTAATTTTAAGAATATATATACAGGGTCGGTCAAGTAGGACCCTTTCATTACATGTACCCATTTATTTATACATCATTATTTTTTTTAAGGAAAACTAGGCTTTATGCGGTATTCTCACTAGGTGGATTTCAGTAACATTAATACTCTCTACATTATCCAAAAAAATTAGCCCACTAAAACCCCGGAGTCATATAGAAAAAGTACCCTTTATTTTACATGTACCCATTTATTTATACATCATTATTTTTTTTAAGGAAAACTAGGCTTTATGCGGTATTCTCACTGGGTGGATTTCAGTAACATTAATACTCTCTACATTATCCAAAAAAATTAGCCCACTAAAACCCCGGAGTCATATAGAAAAAGTACCCTTTATTTTACATGTACCCATTTATTTATACATCATTATTTTTTTTAAGGAAAACTAGGCTTTATGCGGTATTCTCACTAGGTGGATTTCAGTAACATTAATACTCTCTACATTATCCAAAAAAAATAGCCTCCTAAAACCCCGGAGTCATATAGAAAAAGTACCCTTTATTTTACATGTACCCATTTATTTATACATCATTATTTTTTTTAAGGAAAACTAGGCTTTATACGGTATTCTCACTAGGTGGATTTCAGTAACATTAATACTCTCTACATTATCCAAAAAAATTAGCCTCCTAAAACCCCGGAGTCATATAGAAAAAGTACCCTTTATTTTACATGTACCCATTTATTTATACATCATTATTTTTTTAAGGAAAACTAGGCTTTATGCGGTATTATCACTAGGTGGATTTCAGTAACATTAATACTCTCTACATTATCCAAAAAAATTAGCCTCCTAAAACCCCGGAGTCATATAGAAAAAGTACCCTTTATTTTACATGTACCCATTTATTTATACATCATTATTTTTTTTAAGGAAAACTAGGCTTTATGCGGTATTCTCACTAGGTGGATTTCAGTAACATTAATACTCTCTACATTATCCAAAAAATTAGCCTTCTTAAACCCCGGAGTCATATAAAAAAAGTACCCTTTATTTTACATGTACCCATTTATTTATACATCTTTATTTTTTTAAGGAAAACTAGGCTTTATGCGGTATTCTCACTGGGTGGAATTTAGTAACATTAATACTCTCTACATTATCCAAAAAAATTAGCCAACTAAAACCCCGGAGTCATATAGAAAAAGTACCCTTTATTTTACATGTACCCATTTATTTATACATCTTTATTTTTATAAGGAAAACTAGGCATTATGCGGTATTCTCACTAGGTGGATTTCAGTAACATTAATACTCTCTACATTATCCAAAAAAATTAGCCAACTAAAACCCCGGAGTCATATAGAAAAAGTACCCTTTATTTTACATGTACCCATTTATTTATACCTCAATTTTTTTTTAAGGAAAACTAGGCTTTATGCTGTATTCTCACTAGGTGGATTTAAGTAACATTAATACTCTCTACATTATCCAAAAAAATTAGCCAACTAAAACCCCAGAGTCATGTAGAAAAAGTACCCTTTATTTTACATATACCCATTTATTTATACATCATTATTTTTTTAAGGAAAACTAGGCTTTATGCGGTATTTTCACTAGGTGGATTTCAGTTACATTAATACTCTCTACATTATCCAAAAAAATTAGCCAACTAAAACCCCAGAGTCATGTAGAAAAAGTACCCTTTATTTTACATGTACCCATTTATTTATACATCTTTATTTTTTTAAGGAAAACTAGGCTTTATGCGGTATTCTCACTAGGTGGATTTTAGTAACATTAATACTCTCTACATTATCCAAAAAAATTAGCCCACTAAAACCCCGGCGTCATATAGAAAAAGTACCCTTTATTTTACATGTACCCATTTATTTATACATCTTTATTTTTTTAAGGAAAACTAGGCTTTATGCGGTATTCTCACTAGGTGGATTTTAGTAACATTAATACTCTCTACATTATCCAAAAAAATTAGCCCACTAAAACCCCGGGGTCATATAGAAAAAGTACCCTTTATTTTACATGTACCCATTTATTTATACATCTTTATTTTTTTAAGGAAAACTAGGCTTTATGCGGTATTCTCACTAGGTGGATTTTAGTAACATTAATACTCTCTACATTATCCAAAAAAATTAGCCCACTAAAACCCCGGCGTCATATAGAAAAAGTACCCTTTATTTTACATGTACCCATTTATTTATACATCTTTATTTTTTTAAGGAAAACTAGGCTTTATGCGGTATTCTCACTAGGTGGATTATAGTAACATTAATACTCTCTACATTATCCAAAAAAATTAGCCCACTAAAACCCCGGCGTCATATAGAAAAAGTACCCTTTATTTTACATGTACCCATTTATTTATACATCTTTATTTTTTTAAGGAAAACTAGGCTTTATGCGGTATTCTCACTAGGTGGATTTTAGTAACATTAATACTCTCTACATTATCCAAAAAAATTAGCCCACTAAAACCCCGGCGTCATATAGAAAAAGTAACCTTTATTTTACATGTACCCATTTATTTATACATCTTTATTTTTTTAAGGAAAACTAGGCTTTATACGGTATTCTCACTAGGTGGATTTTAGTAACATTAATACTCTCTACATTATCCAAAAAAATTAGCCCACTAAAACCCCGGCGTCATATAGAAAAAGTACCCTTTATTTTACATGTACCCATTTATTTATACATCTTTATTTTTTTTAAGGAAAACTTGGCTTTATGCGGTATTCTCACTAAATGGATTTCAGTAACATTAATACTCTCTACATTATCCAAAAAATTAGCCTCCTAAAACCCCGGCGTCATATAGAAAAAGTACCCTTCATTTTACATGTACCCATTTATTTATACATCATTATTTTTTTTAAGGAAAACTAGGCTTTATGCGGTATTCTCACTAGGTGGATTTCAGTAACATTAATACTCTCTACATTATCCAAAAAAATTAGCCTCCTAAAACCCCGGAGTCATATAGAAAAAGTACCCTTTATTTTACATGTACCCATTTATTTATACATCATTATTTTTTTTAAGGAAAACTAGGCTTTATGCGGTATTATCACTAGGTGGATTTCAGTAACATTAATACTCTCTACATTATCCAAAAAAATTAGCCTCCTAAAACCCCGGAGTCATATAGAAAAAGTACCCTTTATTTTACATGTACCCATTTATTTATACATCATTATTTTTTTAAGGAAAACTAGGCTTTATGCGGTATTCTCACTAGGTGGATTTCAGTAACATTAATACTCTCTACATTATCCAAAAAATTAGCCTTCTTAAACCCCGGAGTCATATAGAAAAAGTACCCTTTATTTTACATGTACCCATTTATTTATACATCTTTATTTTTATAAGGAAAACTAGGCTTTATGCGGTATTCTCACTGGGTGGATTTCAGTAACATTAATACTCTCTACATTATCCAAAAAAATTAGCCCACTAAAACCCCGGCGTCATATAGAAAAAGTACCCTTTATTTTACATGTACCCATTTATTTATACATCTTTATTTTTTTAAGGAAAACTAGGCTTTATGCGGTATTCTCACTAGGTGGATTTTAGTAACATTAATACTCTCTACATTATCCAAAAAAATTAGCCCACTAAAACCCCGGCGTCATATAGAAAAAGTACCCTTTATTTTACATGTACCCATTTATTTATACATCTTTATTTTTTTAAGGAAAACTAGGCTTTATGCGGTATTCTCACTAGGTGGATTTTAGTAACATTAATACTCTCTACATTATCCAAAAAAATTAGCCCACTAAAACCCCGGCGTCATATAGAAAAAGTACCCTTTATTTTACATGTACCCATTTATTTATACATCTTAATTTTTTTAAGGAAAACTAGGCTTTATGCGGTATTCTCACTAGGTGGATTTTAGTAACATTAATACTCTCTACATTATCCAAAAAAATTAGCCCACTAAAACCCCGGCGTCATATAGAAAAAGTACCCTTTATTTTACATGTACCCATTTATTTATACATCTTTATTTTTTTAAGGAAAACTAGGCTTTATGCGGTATTCTCACTAGGTGGATTTTAGTAACATTAATACTCTCTACATTATCCAAAAAAATTAGCCCACTAAAACCCCGGCGTCATATAGAAAAAGTAACCTTTATTTTACATGTACCCATTTATTTATACATCTTTATTTTTTTAAGGAAAACTAGGCTTTATACGGTATTCTCACTAGGTGGATTTTAGTAACATTAATACTCTCTACATTATCCAAAAAAATTAGCCCACTAAAACCCCGGCGTCATATAGAAAAAGTACCCTTTATTTTACATGTACCCATTTATTTATACATCTTTATTTTTTTTAAGGAAAACTTGGCTTTATGCGGTATTCTCACTAAATGGATTTCAGTAACATTAATACTCTCTACATTATCCAAAAAATTAGCCTCCTAAAACCCCGGCGTCATATAGAAAAAGTACCCTTCATTTTACATGTACCCATTTATTTATACATCATTATTTTTTTTAAGGAAAACTAGGCTTTATGCGGTATTCTCACTAGGTGGATTTCAGTAACATTAATACTCTCTACATTATCCAAAAAAATTAGCCTCCTAAAACCCCGGAGTCATATAGAAAAAGTACCCTTTATTTTACATGTACCCATTTATTTATACATCATTATTTTTTTTAAGGAAAACTAGGCTTTATGCGGTATTATCACTAGGTGGATTTCAGTAACATTAATACTCTCTACATTATCCAAAAAAATTAGCCTCCTAAAACCCCGGAGTCATATAGAAAAAGTACCCTTTATTTTACATGTACCCATTTATTTATACATCATTATTTTTTTAAGGAAAACTAGGCTTTATGCGGTATTCTCACTAGGTGGATTTCAGTAACATTAATACTCTCTACATTATCCAAAAAATTAGCC